TAGAGTTTACAGCTTTTGGGTTGATTATCGTAGGCTGATGTTCTTTTCTATATTTTACATGATATCTTCTTTGTGATTTGCTGATTGTTTTTAATTTCCCAGATATGTTTAGGAAGCATTGTGCTGTCTCGTATTTATTTGTAAAGGATGTTTTTGAGCGTAGCTTTTTTTTTTCTAGAGTTCTTCAGTTACTCCCATTTATATTTTTTCTTCGTTATCTGGTGACTTTATAGTGGCTTGGTATATTACTTTGTTTACAAGCAGTTGCCGTTTAAGGGACAATTTTTCTTTATTCTGCAATTACACGTGTGTTTAATTTGTTTAGCTGGTTTGGTGATTGTTTTCTTGTGCTTTTTTATTATTTGCTTCATGTCCTCGATGTAAATGTAACTTACTTTTACTGTTTTTATTGTATATCTTGTGAAGAGTGCTCGATGCAGGCAGTGTGTGAGTATGAGTATAATAATTTTTGTCCTTCGTTTCTTCTCTCTCCAACTCTATTTACACACACACACGCACATACACACACACACCAACACACACACACACACACACACACACACACATATATATATATATATATATTGGGTGTTCAGTATCAGAGATAGAGTTTCTGTAGATATATATATATTCGGATATTTGTTCGACGATTATATATTGAGGTTTGGGGGCTTTGATGAATATTTATTGCAGTAAACTGACAATGTTGATATGTAGACATACAAATCTCCCGATAAGTTCTCCTTTCATATTTATTAAACAGGAGGAGAGGTTTATTCCTTGTTTCCTGCTTAGGATATGGTTTACCGATTCTTTCTTCCATGCCTATAATGATTTAATGTCTTAATCATTTCGCAATCAGTTTATGGATTGCTGTTTCCACCTTCAGTCTTCTTTATCAGCGCCTTGAGGGGAGGATCTGCTCAACAGTCGCATAATATCAGGGCATTTATAGCGCCATCTTGCGCATGAATACGTGTCCCTGTATGTATTTCTGTTGGGCTGCTCAGTTTGTATTGCCTTGAACGATAGATAATGATAATTATTTTGGCCTTTTTTCTTCTTAATATAAAACTACTTATGTCAAATACAATAAAAAGGAACACGAGTAAGCTAGAAAATAAAGCAAATCACCTACCCTCGTCAACCATTCCTTTTCCTATATTCCTGATATTCGTTCCAATTCCTGCAGTGTAGAATGTTACCTCTTGAAACATTCTCCAAATCGTACTTTGCGAAATTAATTTAAATTCTTCTATTGCTACGAATGGATAATTTTGATGCTATCTTGCTCTTTATTGAAAAGATTCTTAGTGTCTATATCTTGAAAAATCTCCCAATTTCAAGACCACTATCTCTTAGGTCTCCCAAAATGATGTGCTTTCGACTTCAATTATTGCATTTTTAGTTAACTCATTTTTCTTTATCGTTCTCCTTCTTCTCAGGACTAATATACGAAATAAATAGAGTAAACAAAATTTTTGACTAAATAGAAATAGCTCTCCCCCCTCTCTCTCTCTCTCTCTCTCTCTCTCTCTCTCTCTCGACATTAATTTGCGAACATTTTTATAAGGCATAAATGTTGCATAAGACAAGGATGCGTCTTATCACCCAACCTATACAGCGAGGAAATTGTAAGAGAATTGGAAACCCTACCGGGATTTAGCATTTGCGGCGACAACCTTAACAGCATAAGATATGCAGATGACACAGTACTGATAGCAGACACAGAAAAGAAATTACAAGATCTCCTACAGAATGTAGTAATGGAGAGCGAGAAGAAGGGACTAAGCATAAACTACAAGAAGACGGAATGCATGGTCATCAATATGGGAATGTGCCAGAAATCCGACTTGCATGTCGGGAACACTACAATATAGCAGACGCGGAAGTTTAAATATCTGACAGACGACGGTAAATGCGACACTGAGATCTGTGGGCGTATTGGGATGGCCAAGTTGGTCAGAGTATTGCGAGACAGGAGGTTTTCTTTGGTAACAAAGAAAAAAAAATACTGAACTGTTTCGTGACATCTGTTCTCCTCTACGGCAGCGAATGCTTAATGATTACCTCAAAGATGAAGAAGAGACTCGAGGCGACGGAGATGTAGTTCTACAGAAGGATGCTAATGATATCATAGACCGAGCACATGAGCAACGATGAGGTCTTAGTTTGCAAACAAGGAGAAGGCTTAGAGTTAACATAAGAAAGATGCAGCTGAAGTTCTTGGACATATAATGAGAAGGAATGGCATGGAGAATTTGATACTCATGGGTCGAATAGAGGGAAAGGGAAACAAAGGAAAGCAGCACGTGATATAGCCGACGAGCTTGAGCAAGATGATGAGAGAACCTGGTCTGGGAAAGGAAAACAGAGGGAAGGAACTTGCTGAGAACTGCAAGGGATAGAAAGAGGTGGAGAGCCATGATCCTCTATCTGTATTTAGACTTCCAATTTTTTCATTGCTCAGTCTCTCAGTCAAATCTTGTCTATACTCTTCTGTACGTCTGAGTTGTTCCCTACATCCTTTCCCCGCTCTTGTCAATCATTATAAATCTGTCTTCTTG